GGGCTGTAGGGAAGCATTTAAACAAGAAATAGAAATCATATTTTAATATATTATATGGGGTAACAAATTAGGAAAGGAAAGCAAGAAACTGGCATGGCTGAACCAGGACCTGCTGATCAAACTGAAGAGCAAGCAAATACACAGGCAGTGGAAACAGGGGAATGTACTGTGGGAAGAGTATAAGGAAGCTGCTAGGCTGGCGTGTAGGGATGGGGTTAGGAAAGACAGAGTTTAGCTTGATCTATGCTTTCCAAGGGATGCCAACAAGAACGACTTTTACAGATAATTCAACCAGAAAAGCCAAGTCCAGGAGGGACTGAATATCCACAAGTTTATGGGTCTCAGTGAGATGCATCCCAGTATCCTGATGGAATTGGCTGGTGTAGTCACCAAGCCACCACTCTCAAAATATCTGAGAAGTTGTGGCATTCAGGTCAAGTCCCCAGTGATTGGAAAAAAGGCAACATCACACACATTTTTAAGAAGAATAATAAAGATGACCCTGGGAACTACTGATTCGTCAGTCTCACTTCTGTGCCAGAAAATGTAATGGAGTAGATCCTCCTGGGAGCTCTGCTAAGGCAGGTGTAAAGCAGGGAGGTGGTGCGGGAGAGTTATCATGGCTTCACCAAGGGCAAGTCCTGTTTGACCAACCTAGTGATTTTTCGTGATACCTGTAACTGCTTCAAGCAAGGTAGCTAGATTTCTAAGCCTAGACTTCTAGCTCTTTGTTACAAATTGTACATAGAAGATACTGGCTTTTTCAGGGTACTCTTTACATTTCTTCATCAGTTAAATCTTGCCTATCTAAAAGTATGTGGTAGGTACTAGAAACAGGAGACTGAACTTTCTGGATGTTTTTTCATGGAGAGAGATATAGTTCCATTAGTTTGACCAAGAAGGTGTAATTACACTACAGGACCTATCTGTTCTTCCCCAAGTGGAAACATGCTAGCCGTTTATGGAGAGAAGATCCAAGATGAGGTCCATCCGACTTCTGTGTTGAATTTTCTTTCGTAGTTCTCAATCCACTTTCCTTGGCACTGACATCTTCTTCACCTACAGGTTCTACCTGTGTGTACCTTCAGGCTTAACTGATGAATAGGTTTTGTTTTAGTCAGTTGACTTTGATTTTCATTGCATTTATTTCTGCAGACAGTGTAATTGAAAATCCATTGCAATGCAGTGTGTTGCATGTAGCTGATTTCCATGTGCTTGTATTAATGATTTGCAGATATTTTCCATGTGATTTCGTTATGCCCTAGATGACTGTTAGCCTGAATAAATCATTAAAACAGCTATTTACCTATTAAACAGTTGCTGCTATTTTCTGATGAAGACATAACATATTTGGTACATCATTAAGTCACTGGGGATTTAGTTTAGCTTTAAAATAGTCTCCAGCTTTTTGTGCAGTCAAGGCAGAAATTGTTACAACTGGAAAATAACCTCTCTGTTTCATAAAGAATAACTCTACATCCAGAACTGCCTGCAGCTCAGAAATGGAGAAGCATGATTTACAGTTCTGCAGGTTATTTTCACAGGAAGAAGTGATTGAAGTGAGGCAAAGGGATGCTAGCTGTCACCTACCACAGACAGAACAGGGGCTCCTCTCTCCTTCAGCCAAAAACATTCTGCTCCATCAACTGATAGCTCTTCTCATCCATCTGGTGTGAAAGACACTCATGATTTTAACTGACATACACAGCAGACTTTTGATTATCTAAATTGAGTTTCCAGGGTTTATCAAAATTGTTGATTGTATTAAGGAACAGCTTTAATTTGCTGGAAAGTTCTGAACTAACAATATTTTTTGGGTTTTTTTGTTTTGTTTTGTTTTCTTTTTCTTTTTCTTTTTTTTTTTTTCCATTCCGTTTACCTCTTTTATTTATGATATATTATGACCTTAGTTCAGCACACATAATACCTTACTGTTCTTAGTGGCATGGTTTTAACCATCATTAATTTGTTTGACATATCCTGGAGACTTCTGAGATATTTTTTTTCTATTATTTTTTTCTATGAGTACAGAAATGAAGTGCTCCCATGTGTTTGACAACTTGAGAATTAAGTGATATTAATTTTATTCAAAGTGAAAAACTAGCACATAGTGGGTTAGACATTCTTGGAATTGTTTTAAATCATATGTTTAAGGAAAATGTTCCTTCTACTTCCACTGAAGGATACATATTTGATTTTCCTTATATTTAATAAGTATAAATGTGTGAATTTGTTTTTAAGCAGAATGTGTCTGTACTTACAGTTACAGAGTTCTTCCATATGCCACACTCAATGTCATCAATATAATGGAATAACAAAACAGAGGATTTTACTATATTGTGTTATTAAGTGGCAGCTATACTGCTTGAGCTTTCTAAGCAAGCTGCCCTTTATTGTGGGAAATCGAGGTAGTTACAATTCCCATTAGAATCTCTCCATCTTCTGAAGGATTTCTGTCCCAGTACTTATATAGCTGTCTAAACAGGATTTTTTTTAAGAAATAAACACAGAGGAGCTGAACTCTGAATTCTATGCCATTGTATATATTTCATGGCTTTCAAAAGTCGGTACATGTTTTAGAAAGTGCTAGTGCTCAGTAAATGTTTGAGCTCACATAAATACAGCTATAAACAAATACTTCACAGATAGACAATAAATCATTCCAGCACAAATACAACAATTCATGAAGGTTAGAAGTTTTACAGTATAGATGTAAACTTAATGATTAGTTTTCAAGACTTCTGGGTGTATCTCAAAAAACATGAGTCTACAGAATCATGGACAGGAAAACCATTCTAGAAGTTTAATGATTTTATGCTTCCCAATCAGGTCTTGCCAATTGTGGTTTTCTTCAGCACAGTAATGTCTATGCTTTATCACATTGGATTCATGCAGTGGCTCGTTGGAAAGGTAAGAATTGCTAACAGTAGGTTCTTGTTTGCCTAATATGAGACACCTTGAATGCCTGTATCCTTTCAGGGAAGACATATGGAAAGTAGTTTATTTTTAACCTGACAGTAGTTTTGAATGTCACCACTACAAAATCGTAAGTGACATCACCAAGCGCCGTTTCCACCCCAGACTGTACTGTTAATGCCACAGTAGCCAATGGGTTTGCATGGCTGCTCCCAAGATCCTCAGATGCTATCCTTACCTAAATCTTCCTTTCCATCTGTCACATGTCCATTTTCCATCCCACAAAATGCAGGATTAAGGCTACATTGCAGCCAGTTGGATTGCTGCCTACTACAAAGTATTGCAGGAGTAATTGTGAACACCACCCACACACAGGCTGCCCAGAGAACTTGTCTCCCCGAATAAGATTGCGGAATCACAGAATCAGAGAACCCTCTGAGTTGGAAGGGACCACAAGGATCAAGTCCAACTCCTGAATCCATACAGTACCACCCCAAAACCAAAGATTGGAAGCTGTTTCCTCATCTCATACTTTGTCTTCGTTTTTGTCAGGTCATATGTCCGCTGTCCAGTCTGTAAAGTTGGCTAGCAAGTCTACAATTAGTCTTTCTACCTATATGCCCAGTGGATTTATCAGATGAGGGAAAAGATCTTTTTATTGGTGACAATTACAGCTTATTTCTGAATAAACATGAAAAGTCCTTTGTCATTCACATTTACAGGATTATTACACAATAAGCACAAACTTCTCCAAGATGAAATACTGTGTACTAAAATTTTTGCTGTAATAAAATTCTGCATTTTATTCCCCTTCACATGGTCAAAGTCCCTTTGGAAAGGTACATAAGTAATGATGACATATCAAAATATCTACTTCAGTTAATTTAGTTCAGCAGCTAGTGCCCAGGAGGAGCCTGAGGTCTTTCAGAATTTTACCCTCAGTTCTGTTAAATTATTCCTCCTTGTCTTATTTAAGCGTGCTACTCCTAAATGAACACACTTTATCTTGATGTTGAAATCATTAATATTAAATATTTATGGAGTCTCAGAGCCCTGATACTGACATGATTAATTCAAGAAGTTAATGGATCAGGCACACCAATGTGTTTATTTGTTTTTTCTTTTTTTTTTCACTTTTTATCACTTTTTAGGTTGGTTGGATAATGCAGATTTTTATGGGGACAACTCCTGTTGAGTCTCTTGTAGCTGCTGGTAACATATTTGTGGGACAGGTGAGTTTAAGCATGGAAAAACACGCTAGAATGAGATTACTGAATATTGTGAAATATAACTATTCAGTAAGCATCTGTGTATAAAAATTCAATTCAGATGAAGTAAGGACAATAGTACAGAAAGTCTGGTGGTTGATTTCCTGGAAGATAGAATTCTTCTAAGTTTATGTGTTGGCCACAACAGAACATACTTTTGGAAATACATCTGTTCCCAAAAGATGTTCAGATATAAATGTAGGTAATGGATCTCCCTTGTGAGACTACTCCAAGGCTATAATTTTTTTTCTTTTTTTTTTTTCTTCTTAAACTAAGGAGAAAAGAAATGGGATGAAAAGGGGGCACAAGGCAAATAGTGATAGAGAGAATGGGATCTTGCCTCATCTGCACAAGGCCTTAGCCACGGAAGCATAGCACATAGTCCACTTAATGGAAAATCTAGTAAAATTACACTACAGCAGTATCAATCCAAGACTTCAGAGAAGAGTGAAAACATCACTGAGTAGTGTCCAATCCCCAAAAAACACTTACCACATCATAGTTATTTTGCAACAGTGCCTTACTCTTTCCTACTTCTTCTAGAATGCCCTTAACACTACCCTCAGGATATGTTCATACTCATGCCAGAAGTACTGGGAGCACCTGCCCATAAATACTGGCTGGTGTACATGTATCCCACGATGCACAGCTCTACCTGCAGCTCAAATCCATGGCTGTTTCTAGCTCACTCAGAACTCGATTTGGATTTCTTGGCAATTTCACTTGGCCTTTGGAGGAAAGTTAAGATCTGCAAGAATCATCAGTAAGAGACATGCTGGCGAAATTTTCTCTCCTGAAGAAAAAAGCCCTAAATTATTCATGTTGTGCACTCATTAGCACAAAGATTGACTGGTGAAAAACACATAGGAGTGTGCGATGCAGCTGGTGATTTTCCTGCCCATTTAGTAAGATAAATTTCTGAGGATTTATTAGGAAGTTCTGAATTTGTTGTTTGTTTTTCAATTCCAGACAGAGTCTCCTCTCTTGGTACGGCCATATTTGCCATACATCACCAAATCTGAACTCCATGCAGTCATGACAGCAGGATTCTCAACTATTGCTGGAAGTGTCTTAGGAGCATATATTTCTTTTGGGGTAAGTGAGAGAGGGAGAACTGGAAACATATGGTTTAGCTTAAACTATTTAAGTAGAGAAGCCCAGCTAAAATATTGGGAAGTACAGCTGAGTTATTCCTCTACCTCCTTTTTTTTTTTTCTTCCTGATAGGAGTAATCACAAAAAAGAAAAAGAAGATAACATGGTCTGATCTTAAGTAGAGTAATACACCTTAGGTGTACAGAGAGTCTTCCTGCCTTAGCTGCAAGGAAATTCTGATTTCTGTACATTTCTGCAGTCCAGATGAACTAGCATGGAGTATGCTTGCTTGTCACAGATTAAGTCCTTCAGGAGTGGCTGCTAGCCATACAATCCTAAATACTTTGTTTGTGACCGAAGTTCTAGTAATGCTGTATAAACACAGATAGTGAATGCCTTGTCTTCCATGAGGCTAGCAGCACAAGGTTAGACAGAAAAGGAAGGCTGAAGGTGTGATTTTCTGTCAAAGACATCAGGGGATGGATGATAAATTTGTTCCATATCTGAATAAAATACAGTGGAGGGACAGAGGCAAGAAGAGAGGACTGACTGAAAAGACCAAGAAGCAAAGAGAGGAAGAGCTAGAAATACTGCAAAAGCTACCAGTTTTTTGTGTAGAAATTTATGAAAGAAGAGATGAAAGGGTAACAGAGAAATTAAGCCAAATACATTTTTTTTAATTGCACTTTCAAGAGACGGAAATAATGTTTGGCTATCAAGGAACATACATGCACTGTTACAGAAGCTAGCTCTCACTCTTCTTCTATTGCTGCACGCAGGACCTGGATTTGGTTTTGTTCTGCCATGCATCTGGCTTTTTCATTTCTTTCTTTCTTTATTTGATTTTTGGTTTGGATAGGAGAGAAGCAGCTCTCCTCATGGAAAGATTCCTTTGTACTTTTTACTTCTTAGGCTTCCACTCTCTCCAGTTAGCTTTCTCCAGTTTTCTTTCTTTCCCTACAAGTAATGTGATATTTTTAATGACTCCCTGTAGAAAAATAATCCAGTCATCTAATGATTTTAGTTGCTTTCTACATGCTTGTTTATGTTCATGATGCAGTTATCACAGCATATTTTCTGTCACTCAAAATTCTAGGTTTCTGCTTCCCACCTACTGACTGCTTCTGTCATGTCCGCACCAGCATCGTTAGCCACCTCCAAACTGTTTTGGCCTGAAACTGAAAAGCCTAAAGTAACTTTGAAGAGTGGCCTAAAAATGGCAAAAGGGTAACTCATCTAGGTTATATGTTAACAGTAATTATCTTGTGAAAACACCATTCAGAAAACTAATTAACTCCTTACACATAAGATTTAGGGGCAGCACATGATGAGTGGGCAGGAATTAAATCAAGTACATGCTGCTATGTGCCAAGCTAGCAGTTTATGAATTCAAGTGCAGCATGCCCAGCCTTAACTATCTGAAGGTACCTACCACTACTCATCAGGACAGGTGCAGAGCTGCTATGGACCTGGGCTTGACAACTCTTCAGGAGACTGAAATGCCTGTTCAATGTGAATCACCAAAAGATTTTCCCATTTGCTCTTTTCTTTGCAACAAATCTACAAATACAAGCAAACAAAAATAAAGGTAGAGCATCCATTTCAGTGACAGCAGCAGCAGCAAACTTTTTGCCCGTCTGCAGGGAGAGTTACTTGCCTCAGGAATGACAGACAAAGCAGAAAGTCTTGGAAGAAGCTGCTTCTGAACAGAATAAGCATCTCTGCAAGGGCTGCCTGCAAAAAGATCAGTGCCCACTCCCTCATCCCAGCAGTGTCTCAAGCAGTCACAGCACTGGGATATGATACAGATTTTGCCCAACCTCTATTTCCAAAACACTCTTACTATCAACCATGCCAGAATTTGTCCTCAGGGTACCAAAGACACACCCTCCCAGTATCTCCCAAGAGGATCCAAGGCACAAACCTGACCGTTATTTTCCTTATGACTGCACAGACAGTTCTAGGAGTTGATTGCTAATCACATTCATGAAACTTTTAGATCTGTGATTTTTCTTGAATTACAACATGTTCACAATCTGTTGTGTTTGCTTTTTTTTTTCACTGAATAAGTGAATCAAATAACCTGCTGGAGGCAGCCAGTCAAGGTGCATCCAGCTCTATTCTGTTGGTGGCAAACATCACTGTGAATCTCATCTCCTTCCTTGCCCTGCTGGCTTTTGTCGACTCAGCTCTCTCTTGGGTGGGCAGTTTGTTTGACTATCCACAGCTGAATTTTGAGGTATGGTCTTCAAGTCCTTAATACAACTTACATGTGTACATAATCTGCTGTTCTTAAATTAAACATCTGTGTGGCTTGTTGTTGTCATCTGTTCTGTTGTGTTGATTTTTTAGTATGATCTAAAAATTTATACTTTTGCACACGTATTCTTCAGAAATGTCTTTACTATCAAAGGGAAATTTTTGCCATGTAAATATTTCTGTTCATTAGTCCATGTAGAGTTTCCCTCTGAACTGTTTTTGATAAGTGCACTTTTTTGAGCATTGTGTGCCAATACTTGTCTCTTCTGGCTTGGCTGTGTACTTGCTAAATCATTAACAACTCCTTCAAATAAACACTGAAGTGCCTTTTGCTTTAGGTGGCCACAGCAAGTCCTTAAAGCTCCCCAGCTTCACCTAAACATGGACAGTGGTACAAGGCTGGACTTGTTACCAACACAACTGTAAAACTACAACCAAATCAATCAGCTGAGAAAACAGACTTTAAATAGGACTCAGTTTTTGAGGATTTTTTTTAGCTTAGGATGATACATCGTTCTTGACCCAACAGAACAGTGATTCAATGGATTTGGTCTTTCTGTTTTCCAAATTCCTGATAGAACAGCAGTATGAAACATGGATATAGCATTGTGATACAGGGCCTGAAAAAGTGGATAGATGCTCACATTGGCTTTAATAATATTAAGATGCTATCCTACAGAAATTTCTGCAGATTATTTCACTACATGGACAACCACAGCAGAGGAAAGGCATGTGTATGCATACCTCAGCCACATTCATTGCAAGGGTGGTGTTTCAGAAACTAATGGATGGAGCAGGATTTGGATGAATGGATAAATTATAAGAAGATGCAACACACAAACATTTTCATTTGGCCATTTCTTTTGAGAGTCACTAACTTCTGTTGTGTTCCATTCCGCTCTTGAAGAAGGTCCAGCTAGGACTGTAAGCCTAGTGGGTCTGTGCTGTAGATGTACAGGTTAGCTGTGCATTTTTGTCTTGAATGGAAAAGGAAGATGTTGGTGTGAGGACATACTTTTTGTGGGGTTGGGGCAGAGAGACGTGCAAGAACAATAACTGCTTAAAAATCTCAAGTTAGGTCCACAAAAGACAATCTGCTTTCACTGCTTGACCTCCTTTCATTTGCAAAAATAAGCTATACTGGAATATGAGATATGTTTTTTCTTGCATAGTTTTTATACTAGGAAAAACATGTATCATTCCAATTATGTCAGGAGTACAGCTTTTATGCAGAAATAAGCCCTTTTCTTTATATCAATTGGAGTTCAATAACCTGTAAAGCCTGTTCATTAAAACGATTTAATCAGGATATGAACCAGATTTATATTCTTTTGTCAACACTTTTAACTCAAGCCCTTTTGTTTTCTTCAAATGCTCTAACCATCCAGAAGTCATTTTTGGCGAAAAATAAGGCACCGAGACTTATTTTATATGAAGTGTTTGAAGTATTTGGATAAAATTAAGGATATATCTAATTACTTTTTTAGATCTAAATTGTGAGTTGATATTTTAAAAATTAATTCCCAATCTCTCAGATGTTCTGGCAGTAAGAAAACCAATGTTCCTACACTGAAATAAACCCACCTTTACTTTCAGTCTATAGAACTTATCAGCTGTCATTGTTTTTTGATCACTTTTGACCAGTTTTGTCTTACATATTTTGCAGAACATTTGTGCATATCTCTTTATGCCATTCTCCTTTATGATGGGAGTAGACTGGGAAGACAGCTTTATTGTTGGTGGACTCCTAGGTTACAAGACTTTCTTCAATGAATTTGTGGCTTATGAACGTCTCTCAAAACTGATACACAATCGAGAAAAGGGTGGGAGCATGTACATAAATGATGTGAAACAATATATGACGGTAAGTAGCATTTTCTTTTATAGATATTTATTCAATCTAATTCTTTTTTGCTGCAACCAATATATCTTTTAGTATGGGCTCATCGGGACAGTGGTGGCATATTGGTTTAAACTGTGTCTTTCAGCAACAGATCACAATTGTTAAAATACAGCGTTGTCTTGTGAGCCTGCCATGACTGTTACCACACTATATCTCAAACAAGTAAAGAAAGGAATAGCTTATGGCTAGAGAAGTTTTAAAGAATATGCCATATCCCGCAGAACACTTTCCTGAAGACCACGGCTATCTTCAAAGTGACTTTTTTCTTACTTCATTCTTAGGTAGCACTTCCCTATGAGATACTCTCCTAGGAAAATTCTGGGCAAGAACTGAAGGATATTCCTGTCCATAGAGATTTACTCAAGCATTATGCTTCTGGAGAGGAATCCAGGAAGCTCTCGCTCATAGCATTTAGAATAGTATCATCTTGTTGTCCGTGCAGTACCTCTACTGGAGGTTATTATCCCCATGCAGAAGGCAGTAGTACAAGGCATATAATATGGCATACACCAGGTATTTTTATGCCATATAATTTGCACTTACTTGCACAGTGGCAAAGAATACAGTGATCAAGACTGATTTTTGCAGCTGTAACTCTAGCACCCCCCTTTATGAGCTTTGCCACCTCCACTGGTCCTTGCTATTCCAATCAAGATAAGCTGTCAGTGTAGAGGACACTTAGTTAGGAAACCTTCTTAGGTACAGGCTTTAATTTTCATTTTCTTTAGTATGATACTTTGGATACCTGCCTTGGTACAAAACTAAAACCTTGTTCCTGACCACTTGCATTCTTTATTCCTGGAACATGTATCAGAAATTGAGGTATAAAGCCAGTTAGTCTGATCAAATTCTCCCACTCTTGTCCATGTTTCCATTATCAGTGGTCCTAGAGAAAGATCTCTGAGCTAGATAGACCTTTGGTCAGCCTTGTTATAGCCATGTTATGTTCCATAAGGGAAAATGGCTGTGAATTCAATGAATTCTTAGATTTAGTCTGATTTAGATCCCATCACCTGTATTTTACTTTATTTTTTTCCTTTTTATTCAGTAAAATGCAGTATAAGACTTCTTTGTTCACATTTAATACCCTCACAGAGCTGTATTAACTCCCACAATAAAAGTCTCTGAGATGTAAAAGCAATTTTGATTCATAACACTTGTAAAAATGGCCAAGTAATCATTTTAATTGGCTCAACCGTTCATCCGAGAGTAGCACAGCTTCCAGTTCTAATTTCTGATCTGCATAAATAATAACTAGTGTATATAGTAACAGATATTCAGACAGAGAAAGCAAACAAGCAGTTTTGTTTACTGCCTGATCTAAGTAAGTAATTACAAAGCTTCCAATTTTTTAAGCTGGGAGAATGCAAGTGAAAGCAGGAAATCATGGTACACAAAACCTTTTCTAGGAAAAGCAGGCAGAATGTGCACTTGAAACACATTTTCCCGCATATGTACTGATTGATTGAAAATTTCTACAAATTGGTTTTCATAAAATAGGAAGGGAAATAGAGGAAACTTCTAATAAATAGAAAACCTACCAGAACACTCATCCAGCTGTCTTGCACATAAAGTACAGTAAATAGAAGTTATGAGCTGGCTGGGAGCAAAAGTCTACTTGCTGAGGGATGCTACATTTTTTCCCAAAGTGTTGGAACTACATTTGCCTTGAAGTTTCTATCTTGATTCCACGCACAGTCATTCTTGTGTCCTGTGAGGGGTCCCTCCATGTGGGAAGGGGTCCTTCCAAGAGAAGGAAGATTGCTAAAGTCAGGAAGCCAATAAATTAGTAGTAGGGATTCATAAATCATAACATTTATCTGCCTGTTATTACATCAAAGCATCCACTCTGAACGAAACATATTTCCATTTCCTTCTTCCATCCACAGGGTGGAGCATACACAGAGCAGCTGGGCTCATAAAACTCTCTGCTTGTTAGGGACAGCATACCAAAACTTGAGATTTCAGCAGAGTGCTACAAAACCAGGCCAGCTATGAACACCAAGATGTGTGACTCATGACATGATGTTCAAAAAGGCCAAGTGAAAGGTGTTGCACTTGGATCAGGGCAACAGTCTGAGAGAATTCATCTCAGTGAGCAGCCCTGCAGGAAAAAACCTGGCAAATGAAAAGCTGGTTCTGAGCTTGCAACCTGGAAGGCCAACCGCTTCCTAGACTGCAGCAAAAGAGGGGTGGCCAACAGGGAGAGGGAGGGGATTGTCTTCCTCTATACTGCCTTTGTGAGGCTGCATCCGGAATACTACATCCAGGCGTTGGAGCAGGTCCAGAGACGGAAGCATCTCTCCAAATTTAGGCAGAGGGAGCAAGGTTTTTTTGGCTCAGAAAAGAAAAGGCCCCAAGAAGACTTCATTGCAGCCCTCCAATAAAAAAAAATAACAAACAGGGCTTATAAATAAGATGTAGGCTTACTTTTTAAATGGTCTGATAGTGACAGGAGAAGAGGAAATGGTTTTGAACTAGAAGAGGGGAGATTTAAGTTAGATGTCAGGAGGAAATTATTTACTTAGAGGGTGGTATGAGATGGGAACAGACTACTCAGAAAAGCTGTGGTTCCTGGAAGTGTCCAAGGCCAGGCTGGATGGGGCCTTCAGCAGTCTGATCCAATGGGTGGCAGCCCTGGCCATGGCAGAGGGGTTGGAACTGGCTGGGCTTTGAGATCCCTTTCAAACTACATCATTCTACCAGTCTGTGAGTCTGTGACACTCTGAAAAAATAATATCTAAGTAGTCACTATGAGTTAAGAATAATTTTTGTCTTTACTTCTACTCATCAATGTATATGAAGAATAAATCTACCACGTGGTCTTTGAGTCCTCAGGTATGAAAGCCAGCATACCTGCAGGAACAAAATGAGCTAACCTTGTTGCAAGTCACACGCTGCGATAGCAACCATGTGCAATTTAATAATATGATTTCAGTTCTCAGAGCCCTGGGCCACAGTGCCATAGTTTCAGACTTCTAAATCAGCCTGTGCTGTCTTGATTCATTCAACTGAGTATCTGTTTGTTTTCCAGGTCCGTTCTGAAACCATTGCCACCTATGCTCTTTGTGGATTTGCCAACTTTGGCTCTCTGGGAATGGTAATAGGAAGTCTAAGTAAGGATGCCATTCATGGATTATTTATTAGCAAGCAAATACCAAGGAAACACCCAGAGGGATGGGCTGCGGGGGTGAAGCTTGGCAACTTTAGGAGCTGAGTATCTCTCTTTCAAGAACCAGTAGCCCGCTAGGCATGGGAGGACTCCCTAAGGGATATTCACACTGAGGTGCGGGAAATGAGCTGAGAACGAGGGGAGGGAACTAAGCCCCCAAGTCTCCTTGTCAAAAACTCATGCCGCCAACCACTGCAGCTACTATAGATCTTAGGATTGGGATAAGCAAACAGTGTCTGTAGCCAAATAGTTTGCAAGACAAAATTAGTGTTTTTCTTCAAAAATGTTACGTATATGCAACTGACTTAAATTGGAAGAGAAAAACAAAAAGAAATAAAACAAACCACAAACTTTTCAGAATTCTAGGAGAATTTAAAATGAAGAAAGAAAGAAAGAAGGAGAGAAAGAAAGAAAGAAAGAAAGAAAG